TATGTATTTTGTGGCTTGGGTTGTACTCTGTTGGACCGCTGTTCGATATTAGGTCTATGTGGAAGTACTGTGCTCAGGTTGTTTGATGTTATCGTTTTCATCTGCAGAACGGAGTTAATACATACACCCTTAGATGACGTTTTTATATATGCACAACTTTTTCCTTCACGAGCCTCCTACTTTCTTGTCTTGCGTTCCTGCTGGTGTTGTTGTGGAGAATTAGTGCGGAGGGTGTGGGCGTTCTCTCCACTAGGCAGGGGAGCGTAGCAGCAGTGCCCCCCAGAGATACCCCGCAGAGCCCCGAGTCTGTGGTGACCTCCCAGGAGTTTGTCACGGCTGAATTCTACATTGATGAGTCGATGCCCTCCAGCTATACGGAGAGCAATGGCACGACGGGGACCACGGCTTCCAGCACCTGGCACCCTCCGCTCGTGAAGACCCACCATGTCATCACCGCAGAGTTGCAGAAACAGCTAGAGGACAAAGACACTGCCATTTTCTCGCTACAGGTCAGTGGAGCTCGTGCTCTGTGCGTCTTGCTGTAAGGATTGGCGCTATAAGTGGTAATAGGGAGGAATAGAATATAGAATTTGACTGCAAATAAACCCTGACTTTGGTGGAAAGATGAGGTAAACCACAGCAATAGATAGAAATGAAAACAATATACAAGCAAATAGGTCCATTGGTTCTATTTATTAATGTGTCTTTGTTGAGATATTATACTTTTTTTTTTTTTACCTTCATGCATGTAATCCCTCACTGTAGCTGTTGAAATCTATAAACACTTGGTCAACATATGCCAGGTCACATCTGTGATTGCTTTGATATTTTGTGGGCTTGGTTGAAGTAGATTTGTGCTGAACTAAAGTTTTAACAGAAAGCATTGAAGAACTGCAGTTATGGTGGGAAATGCAGAGGGTTAGAGGGAGCAGATGGTTGAATGAAACCCAGTATCTGTCAGTTGTATGCCCACAATAATTTTCTGTTGTTACTATTGTTATTACTTTATTTTTTTGTTATTCTGGGATATACCTTGATTTTCCTTAAAATTGGTGCAGAATTGTTTTGGGAATGTTTGCTTCTCTTTGCTTCTCTGGTGTTGTTAATCAAATAAATTTATGTCAACAGAGTGACCTGAACCAGGCAAAGGACGAAGTGGACAGATTGCAACAACGACTCAATGCCTTGGCCTCCCTGGACTGTAAGGATGCAGTCGTCAGTCTCAAAAGGGAGTTGGCGTCTCTCAGGGGAAAGGTAAGTTGTTGTATCAAATAGTTCTCATAAGAAGAGTGTATAACTTCCAACACATTCTCTGTCTCTTTTTGTGTCTGTGGATTTTATTTTGCCTGTTTTGGATATCTCTTTCATGCCTCGGTGCCTGCCCCTGTGATTATAAAGTAGTTCTATCATTTCTTGGACTTTTTCATAACTTTTCCCTATAGGCCTTTTCTATAACTTCCATGTGTATGTTTTCATCGAGATTATTACTCTTCCAAAATATTTATCATACTTTAGTATTGTAATTAACAGATAATAAACATTATTTTGTGAGTCCACAAAAGTCCTTAGAAATATACTGATGAGAGATCATTTAGAATTTTAATGTGTCATCATTTTTGCTTGTCTACTCATATCAAATATCATTTTGCTTTTAGGTTCGTGATGAAGGAGCAACTTATGTCAACTATATCTCAGAGTTGTCCTCTCGTCTCCTAGATGTGTTGTTACAGGTAAGTCAGCTGTTGTTGTATTCCAGATATATATATATTTTGATATATAGTCATGTTTGATGAGATTTATTTTATGGCTTTAGAGTGTAAGGAAGTAAACCATGAATATAGTTGTATTGTTTACTCTGCAAAAGTAGCATGAATGAAGTACATTTTCTGCTGACTCTAAGGTTCCTTGATGTACAACTTTGCTCGCATGTTTTTGAGTAGGTGGAGGGTAAGGAATGATGAAATATGAACTGGTGTACAGATAACATTTTAAAAGGATTGTGGTTGATATAATTACTTATAAAAATTCATCATGTACCTGGTTGAAGAAAATGGAAGACAAGTTTCTATAAAAAGTCAAACACATTAATGATTAATAGGTCTGGTACATTGAACAAAATTTGATTATTAAGGTTATGCTTATAGAGGGAAAGCCTATGAAGCAAAAGCAGTGAATGCCATTATAAAAATATTGCAGTTACTTCTTGCTGTTTTTGAAGGCTTGCAAGAGTTTCATGATGTACAATATGTGTTTGTGATATAAAAAGATTCTTTTCTTATTGACTTTGTTAGAAAACAGATTTATAACAGGGGCTATGATCTTAGGAGTCTCCTTGTGTGTGTATTTGGAGTAAGGAGTGTTGTACTGCTGTACCTGGGCTTTTATTTATTAAGTATGTTAACCCATCCACCATGGATTTATGTTCTGTCCTCTGTATGTTTTTGTGAATTTTGTTGCATACAGATGACTCCATATATGCTCAGCTGGCAAGGAGTCTATCAGTAGACCTTAGTGACCGATCCTGATTTCCCCATTCCTTGAATTGGCGGGAAGATGTATTTTCCTCTTCAATGCAATTGATATCAATACTGTAATTATAGATATGGATGTTCTGATTATTAAATCTCTATTTAAGACAATGAAATAGTACAAAAGACCCTTTCCAAAAGTCAAGGAAAAGGGTAAATAGGTGAGATAGGTAAGACTAATAACTGACTTCTTGGTGATTAAGCACTTGTAGAGCCATCTATGGATAAAGACAATAAATAAACTTATATTACAGTGGACATGGCATGTATTCTTGCCATCCATGCCGATTGGGTTAAAGTAGATAAAAAAAAAATGCTTCTCTCTTGCCCAGTGTGCTCATGCAGCTGTGAAATTTTCCATTCTTTAAGAGGTCAGAAGTATTATTACTTGTTCTGTACTAAGAATGTATTCAAACACCTTAACAAAATTTAGATACAAGTTTGTAGAATATTTTCCTAGATACTGTTGGCACTGTTGGTAATACTGGCATTAGGAAGTATTTTAATGATGATTGTTGATTGATCAGTAGCCTCTCAGTACATGAAGTTTTTCATAGGTGTGTAAACAATTTGAAGATGGTGGTTTGTATAGATGAAAAAAACTTGATAGATGAGAATACTTTTATTTACATAAACTAATGACACTGGGGTCTCTCTCTTTCCTTCTCTGTCAGTCCTAAGAGCGTAGTCAGTTCTTACTTTGGTCTCCAGTTGTATTCTCCCCTCTGCTGTGCTGTGCGTCGAATCCTCTCCGTCCATTATTTTCTTCTCTTTTTCGCTCAGTATGGCAGGCTCACTACTCACTTTCCTACTATCAATATGTCTCTTTATTTCCATAGTGCAAGCTCAGTCCTCACTGCCCTCTGGAAATGAAAACGGTAAGATAGAAAAAATGCTTACCAGGATTAGGGTCACAGTGTGAAATGCAAATTGCGTGACTGTGGTCGAAAATAAGGGTGGTGCTTAAAGAGATGTAATGAGGAAAATGATGATGGGTTTAGTTTTTGTGCCGTTTTTTTTTTTATGTCTCGGCAAAAGCAGGATTGAAGGCTTGCTACCATATGTATGAGCAGTAAAAGAGCTGTGATGAACTACATAAGAAGGTACAAATCATAACTATTCCCCCCCCTGGAAATTGCATAGTTTCCATTCCACACTGTGCACATGGCAGTGACACACCTGTGCCTCAATGGTGTGGTGCATGCAAGCAGTGCCCTCCACTACTTAGTACTGAGTTACTCAATCCTTGTGTGGTGGGTAGGAGGAAATGAGATGCATTGTGCTACTGGGCTTAGAGCATTTTCATATGTCTCCTGTAGGGCGCACACCAGAGTAAGAATATATCAGTGCAAGTGGTCGGTTTTACAGGAAGACTTTTAGGTATTCAACTTGCCTAATACAAAATCTTGGAAAAGATAGTGTTATATTGAGCCTTTTTATTCATACTCCATTTGATTATATAGAAAGGATTATTCCATGAAAAGGAAAATATAATGTTAAAGAGAAACACTGTTGCTGTAAAAGACAAAAAGATGTATGAGAATTCTTATTGCTCAGTACGTGACTGAAATTATTCAAACTTAATCAAGAAAATGATAAGTTCTGTGAGGATTTATGGAGTTCCATTTAGCATTGGACAGTGTTTTCCTTACAGACAAAATCCACTATGAAATCACTGCAAAAACAGTCCCATATGTAGTTTGTTCCTCTGACTTAACATTGATAATCTGCAAAAGCAAGTATGTATTTGAGATGAGATATTTCCCCATACTCACCAAGGTGGTTTTGCTGAACTGCTGATGCTCACAGTAGCTTTACTTTTGACCAGTTCTGATTTTGATTTTTGAAGTTTCAGTTTCCTTCTCATAATACTGCTGCTGTAATTTGTTTGATGTGTAATTCAAGACAAAATAACAAGGTAACATAACCATCTCTTTATTGGGCAACATTGGTAAAGCTTGAAAGGGAAAGATTTGCATATATTTTTTTTTTTTTTTTTTTTTTTTTTTTTTTTTTTTTTTTTTTTTTTTTTTTTTTTTTTTTTTTTTTTTTTTTTTTTTTTTTTTTTTTTTTTTTTTTTTTTTTTTTTTTTTTTTTTTTTTTTTTTTTTTTTTTTTTTTTTTTTTTTTTTTTTTTTTTTTTTTTTTTTTTTTTTTTTTTTTTTTTTTTTTTTTTTTTTTTTTTTTTTTTTTTTTTTTTTTTTTTTTTTTTTTTTTTTTTTTTTTTTTTTTTTTTTTTTTTTTTTTTTTTTTTTTTTTTTTTTTTTTTTTTTTTTTTTTTTTTTTTTTTTTTTTTTTTTTTTTTTTTTTTTTTTTTTTTTTTTTTTTTTTTTTTTTTTTTTTTTTTTTTTTTTTTTTTTTTTTTTTTTTTTTTTTTTTTTTTTTTTTTTTTTTTTTTTTTTTTTTTTTTTTTTTTTTTTTTTTTTTTTTTTTTTTTTTTTTTTTTTTTTTTTTTTTTTTTTTTTTTTTTTTTTTTTTTTTTTTTTTTTTTTTTTTTTTTTTTTTTTTTTTTTTTTTTTTTTTTTTTTTTTTTTTTTTTTTTTTTTTTTTTTTTTTTTTTTTTTTTTTTTTTTTTTTTTTTTTTTTTTTTTTTTTTTTTTTTTTTTTTTTTTTTTTTTTTTTTTTTTTTTTTTTTTTTTTTTTTTTTTTTTTTTTTTTTTTTTTTTTTTTTTTTTTTTTTTTTTTTTTTTTTTTTTTTTTTTTTTTTTTTTTTTTTTTTTTTTTTTTTTTTTTTTTTTTTTTTTTTTTTTTTTTTTTTTTTTTTTTTTTTTTTTTTTTTTTTTTTTTTTTTTTTTTTTTTTTTTTTTTTTTTTTTTTTTTTTTTTTTTTTTTTTTTTTTTTTTTTTTTTTTTTTTTTTTTTTTTTTTTTTTTTTTTTTTTTTTTTTTTTTTTTTTTTTTTTTTTTTTTTTTTTTTTTTTTTTTTTTTTTTTTTTTTTTTTTTTTTTTTTTTTTTTTTTTTTTTTTTTTTTTTTTTTTTTTTTTTTTTTTTTTTTTTTTTTTTTTTTTTTTTTTTTTTTTTTTTTTTTTTTTTTTTTTTTTTTTTTTTTTTTTTTTTTTTTTTTTTTTTTTTTTTTTTTTTTTTTTTTTTTTTTTTTTTTTTTTTTTTTTTTTTTTTTTTTTTTTTTTTTTTTTTTTTTTTTTTTTTTTTTTTTTTTTTTTTTTTTTTTTTTTTTTTTTTTTTTTTTTTTTTTTTTTTTTTTTTTTTTTTTTTTTTTTTTTTTTTTTTTTTTTTTTTTTTTTTTTTTTTTTTTTTTTTTTTTTTTTTTTTTTTTTTTTTTTTTTTTTTTTTTTTTTTTTTTTTTTTTTTTTTTTTTTTTTTTTTTTTTTTTTTTTTTTTTTTTTTTTTTTTTTTTTTTTTTTTTTTTTTTTTTTTTTTTTTTTTTTTTTTTTTTTTTTTTTTTTTTTTTTTTTTTTTTTTTTTTTTTTTTTTTTTTTTTTTTTTTTTTTTTTTTTTTTTTTTTTTTTTTTTTTTTTTTTTTTTTTTTTTTTTTTTTTTTTTTTTTTTTTTTTTTTTTTTTTTTTTTTTTTTTTTTTTTTTTTTTTTTTTTTTTTTTTTTTTTTTTTTTTTTTTTTTTTTTTTTTTTTTTTTTTTTTTTTTTTTTTTTTTTTTTTTTTTTTTTTTTTTTTTTTTTTTTTTTTTTTTTTTTTTTTTTTTTTTTTTTTTTTTTTTTTTTTTTTTTTTTTTTTTTTTTTTTTTTTTTTTTTTTTTTTTTTTTTTTTTTTTTTTTTTTTTTTTTTTTTTTTTTTTTTTTTTTTTTTTTTTTTTTTTTTTTTTTTTTTTTTTTTTTTTTTTTTTTTTTTTTTTTTTTTTTTTTTTTTTTTTTTTTTTTTTTTTTTTTTTTTTTTTTTTTTTTTTTTTTTTTTTTTTTTTTTTTTTTTTTTTTTTTTTTTTTTTTTTTTTTTTTTTTTTTTTTTTTTTTTTTTTTTTTTTTTTTTTTTTTTTTTTTTTTTTTTTTTTTTTCTTTCATTGGTAAAGCTTGAAAGGGAAAGATTTGCATATATTTAGATATAACATTTAAACTTTCTTTGGGGAAATGTGATATAACACACCAACACTTGTAGATGATGAAGAAGCATTATATTGGTAAATTTTTGGTAAGATTTATTCTGCCATAGATTTTTATTCATGTCTCATCAAGCAAAAAACTAAAAAGCTCCTGAAGAAACCTTGCATGCCCCTGATTGGCAATGTTGATCATACTGGAATTTATAATCTGTATAAGCAGACAATGTTTTTCTCTGTCACAAGAGGTAGTGTTAACTACTTTTTTATGATACTTTACCCTACACAGACAGGGATTTATATGTCCTTGTCTCACACAGAAGGGCCAAAAAATGATTTGCAAAGGAATATACTGATGATAATGAAGTATTTAGCACGATTTGGGAAACCCCAAATTATGATTTGCTGGTACTATACAGGATTTGAAACTATTCTTTTAAGAAGTGTTACCGAAATGCAGTAAACTGTCTAGTGCAGAGAAAAATGTTTGAACTTTTGTTTTGTTGTTTAAAGGGAAGAAACCTTAAATCCACAGCAGATGGCAGGAAAAATTGGGGAAACAAGTGGATGAGCAGAAGGGAAAATGTACATTGAAATATATACATGACTATATGATAATCTGCTCTCTCCAAAGCATAAATTTTCAATAACAAGTAAATACTTTTGAATCTTCTAATGTGAATATGACATTTCATAGGTTGGACTTGATCCTAGGTAAATAGATAAATTTAGTATTTGTGCACAAAATTACTGATACTTTGATTTCATTGATTAGATGATGGGTAAAATAGTGAAACACATTTTAGTGAACCTTAGCTGAAGTACCTAGTCATAGTGTACCATTGAGTTCCATTCGTGCAGAATTACTTGTGATGAACCCGTGACAGCAGCTCACTATCTTTAATAACATAGGAATGATTGGGCAATGGGAGTTATGAACTTTTAGGAAGTTAAATTAAGAGATCTTCA